ATCAATAGATAGGTTCGCCTATCGTCCGGCTTACACTCATCTCTGTTCTTCTGAACAGGAGTAGAGGCTAATCCCTTGTTTCCTGGTTAAGATTTGGTTTCCAGTTCCTTCCTAAGTCTACTTCAACTCTATACTTCTAACGTTTGACCTTTCCTACGCTAATATAACTCCACACAGTTACCCTCTACATTGAGTGGCTCTTGGGGCTTATATTGAGTGAACATTAGTAAAAAAAATAAGTACCTGACTCCAGCCACACCTACGTCTTGCAATATATATGGACCACATATGACCCTAACATGTTATGTCATTCGTGAGCACAAATCAGGCAAATTTTTACAGTACGAAATGTGGACTGCTCAGTTTCACTGCAAGAGGTGGTTCTTCCTTTTTATCTACTAAATTTCACTTCATAGAAATGTTTTTCATCATTATATAGGTTCACCCTCCTTCCTGGTCTTTTGAACAGGAGTAGAGGTTTATCCATTGTTTCCTGTTTAGGATTGGGTTCCTGATTCCTTCTAAATTCTATTTTAAATCAATATTTCTAACACCTCCGCCTAAATTATGAAATTTTACTATTTAATTTTTTAATTTATTTTTTTCTCACAATAGGAGTAGATAAGTTTACTTATCACCTGCAGCACACACCCGCCCCTGTTCTTTTGAACAGGAGTAGAGGTTTATCCCATGTTTCCTGTTTAGGATTGGCTTTCCAGTTACTTCTAAAGTCTGCTTCAGCTCTGTACTCTTAATGTGTGTTCTTTCCTAAGCTAATATAAGTCCACACAATAATCCTCAACCTTGAGTGAGTCTCAGGCCTTTTATTGGGTGAACATTATTTAAAAAAAGTAACTTAATAATCCACATCATTACATGTATATAAAAAAAAGCACACACACCCAACACTCATTGCCTACATCACAATATTTATAATTGCTTTTGATTTGCCTAACCATCATATAAATTAGTATTACTTAGTATATGTTACGTACTTTTAATTTCTGTTTTCAGATCATGATATATGGAAAGGTTATCAAATTCTGTCAGCGGAATGTTTTGTTGCTGTTGTTGTTGGAGGAGGAGGAAGAGTTATAGGAAGAGGATCAAGAAACATGGGAGCAGTAGTAGGCAAGCAGTAAGAGATAAAGATGAGTGGGAGGAGGAAGAGACGTGGGAGGAGGAGGGAAAATTGCAGAGTAGTAGTAGGAGAAAGATAAGTGGGAGTAATAGTAGGAGGAGAAGTAAGGGAGAAGGAAGAGGAGCAGGTGCAGTAAAATATGTTTTTGTATGAAAGTAGTATACCAATATAACAATCAAGATGTGAAAGTTAAAGTAGTTCCAAATTGTTATTCCACAACAAAGTTTCTTAAAAGTGAAAGAAATTGAAAATATTTAGAAATCAACACCAATCTACAGGAATGCATTTTGGGAAAATCAGAGAAAAATGATTACTGTATGAAATTAACTGATCATAAAAAAAATGTGAATATATATATATATATATATATATATGTATTAAACTCACTACTTATCTGTTTATCTATCTCAGTCTCCTCTTATCTATCTCAATGTCTTCAGGCCTATCTATTAATCTTTCACCTTATTTATTTATCTATCTCAGTCTCTTCCAGCCTATCTATTAATCTATCTATCTATCTATCTTGATATCTATGTAAAGCTCTCTCCTTATCTATCTATCTATCTATCTATCTATCTATCTATCTATCTTCATATCTATGTATTAATCTCTCTCCTTATCAATCTATCTAGCTATCTTTCTTTCTATATATATATCTATATAAATATACTTTCTTCAAATGTTATTTTTATACCAGTAGATTTTAGATGCTTTGAAGTATTAAAAATTTGTCAGATTAAAAAATAAAATCCATTAATTTATTATACATATATATATATATATATATATATATATATATATATATATATATATATATATATATATATGTATGTATGTATGTATATATATATGTATAAAGAGAGAGAAAGGAGTGAGAGATATATCTATAGATCTTAGGAGTGTTTTACAGTACAAAGTCAAGATGTATAATGCTAAGAAGAAAAGAAAGGCTTTGAAAACTTACAAACAGGTTCAGTTTGGAGAATTTTTTTGCCAGAAATGGGAGGGGAGCCTTTCTATCATAATCAATATATTAATGTGATGCATTTATGATTCAAGGGAAAAAGATATTCATAAAGATAATGACAAAAAAAGAAGCGACTATTTGATAATTTTAAAAGATTGCAAATTCAAAAATACCAAAATTGATATTGGTAAGAGTGAAAAATTTTAGGATGGAATGAGAGGCAATCTGTAAGAACAAAGTCAAACAATCTATATACACATGCATACACGCATGCATATAAAATACACACCCATATACACAAATATAGGATTCACAACTACAACTGTTTCTCATAGACTGATGTGTCATAATTCTTACCAAAATGCTATACAACAACACATGAATTCCTTCTTCATCTTCTATGCTCCGTGTCACTTCAGGACATAGGCAATCATGCCTCTCCATCACTTCTTGAGTTAAATATATATTCAGTGAAACATATATAAAAAAAAGGATTGCTACCCAAATATATATATGTGTGCATGGTGACCATGTGTATATGGACATGTATATGGGCATCAAGCAGAGTGGTTAGAACCTTTACTTTCAGACCATGAGCCATGGGTTCAAACCATGGTTGATCTGTCATCAGTATAGGTGATCATTTTTGGCTATTCCATTAGCCATCATTATGAGTTTTTTTTTTATTTTTAACTGAATATGTACATTTATATATATATGTATCTGTAGTGATGAGAACGTCTTTTTATTTTTCAAATATGGTCAGAATATTGTGGTCATATTCAATATATTTATTTATATATATATATATATATATATATATATATATATATATATATATATATATATATATATATATATATATATATATATATATATATATATATATATATATATATATATATATATATATATATATATATATATATATATATATATATATATATATATATATATATATATATATATATATGTATATATATATATATGTATATATATATATATATATATATATATATATATATATATGTATATATATATATATATATATATATATATATATATATGTATATATATATATATATATATATATATATATATATGTATATATATATATATATATATATATGGTGGGGGGAATGTGCGCATCACAGTGTGGAAAATGTTTTCCTCTGATGCATTCAATCTGTTCTTTTTCCACTTTGTCATACATTTTTTTCCCAATAATAAAATAATATTCTAGATATATAAAAATTTATATCATTAACTTATGTGTATATGTATATATATATATATATATATAATAAAGAGATATCAAATTCAAGTTATATTTCCAGTTTTTGTATTTAAAGAAGCAAACACAAATTTAAAATCCATTAACAATTTATGATTTATATATCTATACATATATATCTATATATGATATGTGTGTAGACATGCTTATATATCTATACATATATATATATATATGATATGTGTGTAGACATATATTATATATCTATACATATATATATATATATGATATGTGTGTAGACATGTTATATATATATACATATATATATATATATATATATATATATATATATATATATATATATACATATATAACAATATATATATATTTGTGTAGACATGCTTTTATATATATATATATATATATATATTACACACATATAGACAAATACATGTTTGCTTTTCATACTAAGTAATACTAATTTATCTGATGGTTAGGTAAATCCAAAAAAAAAAAAAAAAAAAAAAAAAAAAAAAAAAAAAGCAATTATAAATATTTTTTCTGCACAACATGACTTTTCAGAAATATGTAGGAAGGCAATTATTCTGGTAATAACCAGAGTTAATTCAACACCCCCACCCCGTTTTTGACTGAGATGAGATGTACTGAAACGAAGGCAGAAAATACTTTCAACAGTCTGAAAAGGAATTATTTCACAAGATTTGAAGAATTTATTTTTGAAGATTAATTGACTGAGGCGTAAAATTCTGAAGATGCGGAAAAGTGAAAATGGACCTTTAAAATTCAATTAGATAAAATTGCTTCTTGTGTACTTATATTTAACATTGAAGAAAAGAAGATTCAAGTGTCTATAATTGACTTCATATAAATATATATATATATATATATAGGTGTGTGTGTATGTGTGTGTGTGTGTGTGCATAAACATATATGTATGCATATATATAGAGAGAGAGAGTGAGAGAGAGAGGGAGTGAGAGAGGAATTGGTGAAGGGATAGACAAAATTAGATACAAAGTATATGATAGATATCAACAGAGAAATGGATTACCAGATAAATGAATGGTAAAATACATAGTAAGAGATATATGAAAAGAACAGAATGATGAGCCAGGCAGACAGACACAAATGTAGACAGACTGAGAAATAACCAAATGAATAGGTAGATGTATCATAAGATAGATATTAAGAGGATATATTGACAAATTGGAACAGAATCAAATAGATAGATAGATAATTAACATTTGGAGATAGATAAATAGATAATGAACATTTAGAGATAGATAAGGAACATATTGAGACATATAAACAGACAGATCAATAATAAACATATTTAGATAGATAGATAGATAATGAACATATTGCAATAGATACAGAGATAGATAGACAATGAACATACTGAGATAGATAGACAATGAACATACTGAGATAGATAGAAAGAGATATATATAATGAACATGTTGACATAGATAATGATCATATTGAGATAGATAGATAGATAGATAGATAGATAATGAACATATTGCAATAGATACAGAGATAGATAGACAATGAACATACTGAGATAGATAGACAATGAACATACTGAGATAGATAGAAAGAGATATATATAATGAACATGCTGACATAGATAATGA